ATAAAAAAATATTATCTCTTATGGTGCTAAGAAATAAATCATCACAATCTTTTACATTTCTCGTGTGTGTAATCAATGCAATTTGAAAATATTAATTTACTATTATAACTAAATTAAATTTATAAAATAAATTATACAGAATAAAGACACTAACTTTTCACACAATTACACAACATAAAAATAATTACAAATATAATCACAGCACATATCTATCCAAACTGAACATACGCTGGGTAAAAAGTTGTACTTGTTTCTTAGCACAACCAATTGGTTGCACATGCTTCAACTCACATTAAAGATTTATGAAGTTTATTACCAAACCACAATGATGGAATATTATTATGGTTTACTTTTAGTTGTTCACAGATGTCAATCCAATAAAAATGTTTTTGAGTTTTTTTGTGATTAATCCACCAACTTTGTTCATTAAGCGTTTAACAAAGGGTGATGAAAGACTTTCATTAGATTAACTAAGCCAAAAGCAATCTTATAATGCTCCATAAACGATTGAATCTTAATTAATTCTATGTGAAAAGGTAAAAGTAAATACTTTACTTGAAGGAGAAATAATTCATATCTAGTTGGAAAAGGAGAAAGGGAATACCTTTTTTTAAGGTTAAATGTTAAATTTGGTCCCTCAACTTTAGTGAGTTGCACATTTTTGGTCCCTCAATAATTTTTTGCACTTTTTTAATCCCTCAACTCTAAGAAATGCACACCGTTAGTCCTTCTGTCAATTTCGACCGTTAACTTCGCAATGTGGCATTTTTTATGTTTTTTTTATGACATGGCAAAAACAACATTAAAAAGTGCTGATTTGGATTTTTTTTTGATGACATGTTTGATGCTAACTCATAAATTAAATTTGTTTAGGATTTATATTTTTAATAAAAAATAAAAAATTTCGACTCATCCTTTTCCTTTCTTTTTTTTTTTTCTTCTTTCTTCCTCTTATTTCTTCCTCTTCTTCCTCTGTTGCTGGGTCCCTTGAACCCAGCAGATCTGGGTTCAAGGGAACCCAGCAGATCTGGGTTTGATGGAACCTAGATGTCTAGTTGCTAGGTTCGATGGAACCCAGCAACTGGGTTCGGCGGAACCCTTCAGTGCTCTTCGAACCGTGCCGGTAGGTTTCCCATCACACGGCTCACCAACTTGATTCACCACCACATCATTGCATGCAAGGGGAGCTCGCTCGATTCGCAAATTGGTCCGACTCGTAATTCACTTTTGACTCTGTGTTCGATAGCCTGACCGTAGTGATGTTAATTGTGGTTACATCCATAAGTAACTTGGTCCATCTTTATTACATTTCATATATGTCTGAGGATCCGCATAGCCTGGGTTCAGTGGAACCAATAGATTTGGGTTCGATGGAACCTAGATCTGCTGGGTTCCACCGAACCTAGCAAACTGGGTTCGGTAACTTAAACAACTGATCATACTGAGTCTTGAACCCAGTACTTGTTAGGAGTGCTTAGTGACTAGGATGTTACGCTACGGAAACATATTACGATTTAGGTTTATGAGATGTTATGATTTTAGAGTTAAATGAGTATTAAGTTTCCTCCTTATTTTTCTTATGTTTTGATTGGGTTCGATGGAACCCAGCGAACCCAGCAACTGGGTTCCCTTGAACCCAGATGGCTGGGTTCAAGGGACCCAGCAACTAGGTTCCACCGAACCCAGCTCGGGTTTGATGGAGCCCAGTTGGTGGGTTCCTCGAACCCAGATCTGCTAGGTTCGATGAACCCAGCTTTGCTTCTTTTTTTTTTTTTTTTTTTTGTTATATGTTTGTTTAAAGAGATTTTGATGTAAATTGCAAGTTGTAAGGGATTTTTGAGATCATTTTCTTCATATTTCTTAAGTATGGTTTAAATGATTTCAATGTTCAAAATGGAAAGAACATTGCCAGCAATTTGTTTGGATAGAAGGGTGTTTGGATGCTGAGAAAATGTTCTTTGTTTGAACATAGCATAATGTTTTGTCCATGTCATTACTTTTTTAAATTTTAAGCTTCACATCATCAAAAAAATTATAAAAAATGCCACATGTGCAAAGTTAACGGCTGAAATTAATAGAAGGACTAAAGGTGTGCATTTGTTAGAGTTGAGAGATAAAAAAAGTGTAAAAAATTATTAAGGGATAAAAAATGTGTATTTTTTAAAGTTGAGGGATCAAATTTAGCATTTAACCTTTTTTTAAAGAAAAAAAATGGGGAGAAAGGGAATACTTTTTATTTATTTTCGATATGATGGACTATGAATTACAACCACATTGCATTTAAAAAAGAAAAAGAAAAAACAACGTAGTTTTTGGCTTTATGCCATTATTAACATCTCGTCTGGTGAAAAATGCAAAGGAAATATTAAAAGTGTATTTGGTTTGATTAAT